TCACTGAATTAGGGAAGTTTTCTATCACTATTTCTTCAAATATATTCTCTAACCCTTGCTCAATTTCTTCTTCTTTGTGGACTCCTATGATGTGAATATTACTACGTTTCCATTTGTCCCACAGTTTTCTTAAGCTGTCTTTTTGTTTTTGTTTTTTGGTTTTCTGATTGGTCGATTTTTTCTACACTGTCTTCTAATTCACTAATTTGGTCCTCCGCTTCCTCTACTCTACTTTTTAAACTTTCCAATGTGTCCTTTTTTATATATGTCATTCTTCATTTCTTCTTGGTGGTTTTTAATTTCCAATTGGTTGATTTTCAACATTTTTATGTCTTTACTTATAGTGCTCATGTCCTTACACATGCTGTTGAGCTTTCTCAAGAGTGTGGCTCTGAATTCTAGTTCTGTTAACTTGCTTAACTGCACCTTATTTATCTCATCTTTGGTAGAGGTCTCTTGTTCTTTCATTTGGCTTTTGTTTCTGTGTTTCACCATTTTAACTATTACAGTGGGCTTTGGAACCTGCCAAATTTTCCCTGTTGGTATTGGTTTTCTGCTCTTTGTTGCTCCCTCTCCTGGGTTTGGATGAGCGTGGGAGGACTCACCTTAAACACCACTGTCAAGCCTTGGCCAGTTTGACTCAGCTGTTAGAGTGTCAGCCTGCAGTCCAGAGAGACCTGTGTTTGTTTCCTGCTAAGGGCACGTACCTTGGTTGCAGTTTGTTCCCAGCCTTGGTTGAGTTTTGTGGGTGGAACCACTCAATGTGTCCCTTTTACATGGATGTTTCTCTCTCTCTTTCTCCCTCCCACTCTATCTGAACAAAATATTGGAAAAAAATGTCCTCAGGTGAGGATAAAAAAAAAACACCTCTGTCAATTCTTACTATCCTGGTTAGAGTTGCTAGCCCAGGAATGGTACTGTTATCTTTTAGCTTTTTGCCTGGAGGCTATCAGTAGTGGTTACTTGAAGAGCCTTGGCTTCTCAGTTGAATGAAAAACTCTCTCAGGTGTTCAGCATAAGGGGCTTTGCCCAGGGTATGGCAGATGCTGGTTGTTAATAGGCCTCAATTTGCATTTCAATAGCCACCTTGTCTGGTTGAATCCCTGAGGGAGGGGCCACTGCCTCTCCCCAGAGCCCTGGGATGGAGTAAGATGATCCCTGTCCTGCGTGGCCCCAACTCAGCCAAAGCTCTGAGTACCCTCCAAATTCCAAGTGTCCCCACATATTTTCAGTCCAATCTGTCCTTCCTCTGCTGGAGCCCAAATTGAATGGCTGTGGCTATTTTAGCATCTGTCCCCTCTTTGCACTGTGGAGCCACTTGGGAATTTAACCAGAGGGTGCTGCTCACAGCTGAGGCTGCTGCTGTCTGTGGGCCCCCAACCCCCATCTCATGCCTCCGCAATTCTACCTGGATTGAGTCATTGTTTCTGGTTACATTGTACTCCAAGCTGCTTTACTGTTGTGCTTTTCTGTTAATTTGTCTTTATTTTTGTTGTAATTTCCGTTTGGTCCTGTGAGATGGTCTGTGTAGCTTTCATTCACTCCATTGCAATTTTGGAATCCTCCTGTTGCTTATCTTTTGCTGCCTTTAAAATCCTCTTTTTGTCTTTAATTTTTGTATTTTAATCATTATATGTCTTGGTGGGGGCCTGTTTGGGTTCTTGTTACTTGGGGCTTTCTGTGCTTTTTAAACTTGAATGCTTTCTTTCTTCACCAAGTTAGGAAAGTTTTCTGTCACTATTTTTTCAAATATATTCTGTAACCCTCACTCATTTTCTTCTTATTCAGGGACTCTTATGATTCAAATGTTATATGTTTCCAGTTGTCCCACAGTTCTCTTAAGCTGTCTATCTGTTTATTAATTATGTTTTTCTTTTTGGTTGATTTTTTTTTTTTTTAATCCTTTCTTCTAATTCACTGCTCTGGTTCTCAGCTTCCTCTACTCTGCTGGTTAGTCTTTCCAATGTTTTCTTTATTTTTGCTATGTCATTTTCTTTTCCACTTGGTTGTTTTTTAATGTTTTTATATCTATACTCATGGTGTTGATGTCCTTACTCCTGCTATTGAGCTTCCTCAAGATCCTGACTCTCTACCTCTGATAACTTGCTTAAGTGCATTTCATTTATCTTATCTTCAGTAGAGTTCTCTTGTTTTCTCATTTGGGATTTGTTTCTTTGTTTCACCATTTTGGCTATCTCAGTGTATTTTGTAGCCTGGCAATTTTTTTCTGTGGGTGTTGGTGTTCTGCTGTTTGCAGCTTCCTGTACTGGGTTTGGGTGAGTGTGCGAGGCCCCACGTTAAACACCATTTCAAGCCTTACTTTCCTGGGTAGATTTGCAAGCTTGGAATGGTTGTTGTCCTCTAGCTTTTTATCCTGGAGGCTATTAGTTTCAGTTTTTCAGGGTCTTGGGGTGGAGCTTTCAGCTGTATGAAAAAGTTCCTCAGGGTTTAGCAGAAGAGGATTTCCCAAGGGTGGGGTAAATGCTGGTTGTTAGTGAGCCTCACTTTTTATTTCTTTGGCTCTCCTGGGTGGGGTTGAATCTCTGAGGGAGGGGCTGTTGCTTGTCCCCAGATCTCTAGGAAGGAGCAAGCTGGCCACTGTGCTATGTGGCCATGACTCAGCAAAAACTCTGAGTGCCCTCCAAATCATGGGTTTTCCCACAGAATTCTAGTCCAGACTGCCCTCTTTCTGCCAGAGCCTAAGGCGAGTGGCTGATGCTAATTTAATGCTCTGTCATGGTCCTCTGCACTCTGGCACCAGCTTGGGATTTTTGACCCCAAGGGCACTGCTCACAGCTAAGACTACTGCTGTCCATGGGCTCCCAACTTGCCACCCTCTTATGCCTTTACTGACCTACCAGTGTTTCTGGTTATATGGTCCTGTCCTGCTGCTTTTCTGTTGCTTTTTCTCCATGATTTGTTTTTATTTTAGTTGTAATTCTTGTTTGGTCTTGCGAGATTGTCTGTGTAGCTTTCATTCACTCCACTGCCACTTTTTTGAGTTAAATTTTTTTTTTTTTTAATGGATATCTTCTGTTCTCTTTTTCTAGCTAGTTTTTCTTTGTAGCAGGCAGCAATCACAGAGTGTGAATGAATGTTCTCTCTCTTTGCTTTCTGAAAAGTGTTAAGCTCTGTTCCTGGATCTTTATGCCAGCCTTTGTGTTCTAAAGGCTGGGCCTGAGTCCCTTTTTTGTCCTTCCCTGGTTCAGCACTTGGTCTCCTGGACTCTTATGGTCAGTGAGGACCTCTGACATTCATAGATAACAGCTGCCTAGTCACCGCAAACAGATATTTGTTCTTCGCAGGAATTCCAGGTAGGCTGTGGTCTGTGTTGTTCTGCATTTTATGTGGGCCTCTGCCTGGTTCATCCAGACACAAGCCATGGTGTTTCTGAGAATTCCGAGTTATTTCAGCCTTGGACTGTTGCTTCCATATTTTGGAATGTTCTGGTTTCTGCTTTCCCCCTTTTAACAGAAAAGTTTTCAGGGTCAGCCTAGATTATCCTCCTTTGGGAAGCATTGCTGGCTCTCCCAGGGCTGATTTCTGCTGCACTGTGCTCTGAGTTTTGTCTACCTTGGTGCTTCTCTTTTATTACCTAGAATGCAAATTCCTTAAAGGCATAGTTTGTGGTTGAGTCATTTCTGAATCAAGTTTTCAGCCAGAAACTTGGTGGGGATTTAAAAAAAGAAAAAAAAATTGTACAATGACTAAGGAAATATTGTCTCTGGCTATGCTTAGCAGGTGCTGGGTACTATAAGCTGTAAAATGTGTTTGTAAGGGAGAAATATTACTGGATCCAAACTGAGGGGATAGGGTCTGGAGATGCCTGGACAAACTGCATGCCCTTTGTTCTATAAGATATTTATTTCTTTGTGGTCTGGTCATATTTATTGTCATAGTATTTCTGGGATGAAGTGTGGATCTATGTTACTATAGAAAATGGAAACAAAGGAGAAGTGACTGTCCACAGTTGTCTTGTTAGTAGGACAAGGGTTGGGAGATAAGTCAGCTTGTCCTGACTCCTGGGTAAGAGATTCATGCAGCTTGCCATGATACTGTTGTAATTAGCTAGTTATTAATACTAGGAAAGGAGCAAAGGGAAGGCCAGACATTATAGGCATGTCATTTGGGCAGCTTCACCAGGAAGCTACAACTTTACATTCCTCAGAGAGCTGCCAGTCCATTCCTCACAGAATCACTTGGGTAAGGGATTCAACAAAGGAGAGAGAGTTGCATGTTCAGTAAAGTTGGGTGATATGGGGAAGGTACTTGCTTGTCAGTCACACCTGAATGGGTATGGCCACGGAAAGTGTGCAAAAATTTGGAAATACTTACTCTCCTAAATAAGAGTTCTCTCTCTTGGCTCTTGGCTTGTAGGGCTCTCTAGTACCTGCTTCCTTGCATTTTCCCATATGACCCACAGCCATACAGACCCCACATGCAATGGATTAATGAACTGCAGCTTGGAGCACAAGCTAAGTTAGCCTGATGCTGGACTGGAGTGTGCAAATATGTAATAGAAATTCTGGAAACTGGCTCTCATTTTAGCCCTGCTAAAGGCAAAAGTGGGACTTCTTTGGCAGGACTGAAGGAAATAAAACCTTGGAAACTTAGAGGTTTGATTCCACAGAAATAAAGTTTTGTATGATACTTTATCCTCCCGAGTAAGTCTCAGAAAATTCTTTTTCTCAGAATATCACAAGAACTCCACCCCTACTAGCAAAGGCTAGGGATGAGGACCACTCCCCTAGCTTCCACTTCTTGTGTTAAAAGTCACAACACTACATTCCCTGGTGCCCTACTGACAGCAACACCTGGGCCTTGAGACCTGGGTTTTGGGTCAGAGAATGGAACAGCAAAAAGAAGAAAGTAAACACTCAGAATTCTATTATCTAGAAAGAAAGAAGGATGATAACATCCTGGTTTATATATGCTCCTTTGTAAATTGTCTTTTTTATTTAACAACAGCTTGTGCATATTTTTCATGTCATTAAATATAGGTCTACTCCAACTTTTTAAAGGCTGCATACTGTTTTATAATTGGGTAAGTGTAATTTTTAAAGCAATTTTTATTGTTATGATACATTTATTTTCCATTTCCAATGTTAAAATCAACACTTTGCAAAATATACATTTACATGTAGCATCTTTTGTTCATATTTCCTTTAGGTTGAATTCATAAAATGTCATTGCATAGTCAAATCATATGCACATTTACAATTGATATATATTTTTAGATTATTCTCTAAGAAACATCTCTAGAAAAATAGTTAACTGTGTGTGTGTATGTATACATATATGTATATATTATATATATAATTTTTGTCGTAATTTGTGGTTTTATTGTTAACCTATAACTCTTTGGTTTATTTGAAATGTATTTTAGTGATGACATAAAGTAGGTGACTAAATTTTTCCCCCCTCAAATTGATTAGTAGTTGTCTCAATAGCATTTACTAATTAAGACATGCTGCCCTGGCCAGTTTTGCTCAGCAGTTAGAGCATCGGCCTGCGGTCTGGAGAGACCTGGGTTCGGTTCCGACTAAGGGCACGTACCTCGGTTGTGGTTTGTCCTCAGCCCTGGTTGGGTCATGTGGGTGGCAACCACTTGATGTGTCCCTTTCACATCAATGTTTCTTCCTCTCTCTCTCTCCCTCCCACTCTATCTGAACAAAATATATTTTAAAAAAAAAGTTCTCAGGTGAGAATAAAAAAAAAAGACATGCTTAGTAAGTTGATTCATTGATTTGAAATAACTTTTTATAAATTAACTTTCCATGTTTAGATGTTGTTTTCTGTTTCTTGACTCTTTATTCATGTAACCCATCATGTACCTTTAATGTATTTATGTTATGATGCTTCAAAATTCTCAAATTTAATTTATTTATTGAGTAAAACAGTAATATGATTGAAAATTTAAAATGTATAAAAGAGAGACAATGAAAACCATCTTTTAACCCATCCACCCAGTTCCCACCCTCCTCTATAAGGTACCACTATTACTAGTTTTTTGTATTTTTTAAAAAAATTTTATTGATTTTAGAAAGAGAGAAAGTGAGAGGGAGAGAAAGCTAGAAACATTAATGAGAGAGAATATCAGTTGGCTGCCTTCTGCCCACTGGGTATTGAGCCCACAACCTGGGCATGTGTTCTGACTGGGAGTCAAACCAGTGACCTCTTGGTGCATGGGTTAATGCTCAACCAGTGAGCCACACCAGCTGGACAGCTTTTTTGTATTCTTGCAGAATATTTTTAAGGCATATTCAAGCAAAAGTAAAAATTGATTTTATCTTTACCCTTTTTACATATATGATAACATACTGTACATACTATTCTGTAGTTTTTTTAAATTTAACATTATCTTGGAAGATCTAAACTGAATTACGATAGCTTTATAATATATTTTAATATCTGGTAAGACAGTATGCTCCATTCTTTTCTAATTTCCCTCATTGTTCTTACACATTTATTTTGTTAAATTTTTGAATTAGTTTTTCAAGTCGAACAAAGCCTTTTTTTTTTTTTTAATTTCAAGGTGGGGCCCAGTCCATGTGGATTGGAGGGGTTCCTTTTTCCAGTCTTTAATCCATACATAGTCCCCTGGTTTATGTGAGTGGGCTGGCCCCCCTCATGGCAAGGGTCCTTGGCCTAATCTGGCTTGATGTATCTGGCTGTTTCCTCTAGTTTCTGTAGGTCTCCTCTAGGTAGGGGTAGTATGGCTGGTGGCCTTCCATAAACTAACTCAAATGGTGTATACCCTGTGGCATTAGGGGCATTTTGCACTCTGAATAATGCTAAGGGTAGCAGGTCTGGCCAGCACAGGTTGGTCTCCTGATGGAACTTTGCAAGGGTTGTTTTTAGAGTCTGGTTTATGTGTTCTACCTTTCCTGAGCTCTGAGTGTAATAGGGAGTATGTAGCTTCCAAGAAATTTTTAATAGTGTTGCTAGTTCCTGGAGCACTTTTGCAACAAATGCTGGCCCATTGTCGCTGCCAAAGGTCATAGTCAACCCAAAGCAGGGGATAATTTCTCTGAGGAGGATCTTGACTACCTCTGCTTTTTTCTCTTTTGGTAGGGAAAGCTTCTACCCATCCAGAGAAAGTACAGACTAAAACAAGTAAGTATCTGTATCCCCGGGTTGGCCTGATCTCAGTAATGTCAATCTGTACATCCTCAAAAGGCTGTTGCCGCCCCTGTGTTGTATTCCGGGAAGCTTTTTTGGGTGACCTGCTGCATTGTTCCTGGCAGAGGCCAGGCATTGAGTCTCTGCCGCTGCATATAGTCTAGACATGTTAGGGAAGTAGTAACACCTCCCGAGTAAAGCCTCTAGAGATGTTGTCCCTAGTTGTGTGAGGGCATGACATTGCCTGATGAGATTGCTGGGCTGGCCTTGGGGTATGTAGAGCCATTCATCTGGCAGTTACCATATGCTGGTGGGTGTTGGGAGGCAGTTTTCTTGTATGGCCCATTTCTGTTCCTCTGGGGTGTAGTTTGGCTGATTGACGGTCAGTTCTAATAGGGTACCTTCTATTTGTCAGGGCCTCCCTTTCTGTAACTGCTGCCTTTGCTGCCTGATTTGCCCTTCTGTTCCCTTGGGCTACTTCTGTCTCTTCCTACTGGTGGCCCCTGCAATGCATTACAGCTACTCACTGAGGGGCCCAGACTACTTCTAGCAGTCGAAGTATTTCTGCCTTGTTTTTAATTTCTTTCTCCTCGGCTGTTAAGAGTCCTCTCTCTCGGTAGATTGCCCCATGGATATGTATGGTGGTGAAGGCATACCAAGAGTTTGTGTAAATATTGACCCTTTTTCTTCTGCTATTTTCAGTGCCCTAATTAATGCCCAGAGTTCTGCCCTTTGAGTGGACCAGCCAGCCAGCAGGGGCTTTGCTTCAATTATTTTCTCATTGTCCATGACAGCGTACCTGCCATTTGTTTCCCCTCAGTCATGTAACTGCTCCCATAGGTGTAGGGCATTAAGTCTGGCTTGTCTAGAGGCTGGTCCCGCAGGTCTGGTCGGCTGGCATGCACGTCTTCAGTTGTCTCGAGGCAATCGTGGTCTGGTCCTCCCAGCTCAGCAGGGAGAATGTAGCTGGGTTTATTTGCCGGAGAGTGCTGACTTTCACTCGGGGATTCTCGTAGAGAAGTCCCTGGTACTGTGTCAGTGTCAGATTGGAGAGCCATTTGTGTCCCTGTCCAGCCAGAAGGCTAGATACTATGTGGGGAACAAATATGTTGATCTCTTGCCCAGGTTTTAGTTTGTCTGCCTCCTGTAAGACAGTGACAGCTGCAGCTATGGCCCTCAGGCAGAATGGCCAACCTGCTGCTACATTGTCCAGTTGCTTAGATAGGTATGCAACTGGCCTTTGCCATGGTCCCACTGGCTGTGTAAGGAACCCCAATGCTATTTTTTTTTTTTTTCATTTTTTTGCATGTAGAGTTTGAAAGGCCAACTGGGGTGTGGCAGCCCTTGGGCCTGCTCACACCCAAGATCTTTTATAGCCTGGAAGGCTTTCTCCTGTTCAGCTTTCCATCAGAGGGGTGCTGTGTCTGGGCCTTTTAGCACTTGGTAAAGTGGTTTGGCTAATGCTGCATACCCCGGTACCCAGATTCGGCAGAACCCGGCCACCCCTAGGAACTCTCAAAGTTCCCTCCATGTGGCTGGAGTTGGTAGGGCCATTAATGACCTGCTTCCTTTCCTGGCCCAGGACTCATTTCCCTTGGGAAATGAGGAATCCCAGGTATTTTATCTGGGCCTGGCATACCTGTGCTTTCTTCCATGAGGCCCAGAACCCTGCCTTTGTTAGCAGTTCAAGCAGCTGGCAGGTACCTCCTAGCACCGGTCCAATGTGTGGGAAGCTAGTAGGAGATCATCTACATATTGTAGCAGCACTAGATTTGTTTCTGTATCAGTAAATGGTTTTAAGTCTCTGGCCAGGGCCTCTCCAAAGAGAGTGGGTGAATTTTTATTTCATTATTATTATTTTATTATTATTTTTTTATCCTCACCTAAGGACATTTTCTCTCTCTCTCTCTCTCTCTCTCTCTTTTTTTTTTTTTTTGTTCACATAGAGTGAGAGGGAAAGAGAGAGAGAAACATCAACATGATAGGGACACACTGAGTGGTTGCCACCCACACGACCTAACCAGTGCCAGGGACAAATTGCAACTGAGGTATGTGCCCTTAGCGGAAACCAAACCCGGGTCTCTCTGGACCTCAGGCTGATGCTCTAACCACTGAACCAAATTGGCTAGGGCAAAAGTGGGCAAATTTTTTAAATTTTTGTGGCAATCTGGTCCAGATCAGTTGTGTCTTTACCGCAGTGTGGGGGTCTTCCCATTCAAAAGCAAAGAGTGGTTGGCTCGCCTTTGAAAGTCAGAGGCAGAAAAAGGCATCCTTCAAGTCCAGACAGGTGAACCAGGCCGCCTCTGCAGGAGCTAGCTAAGGAGCGAGTATGGGTTGGGTATCACGGGGTGCAGTGTGATTGTTGCCTTGTTTACTGCTTGCGGGTCCTGTACCAGCCTTTATCCACTCCCATCTGGCTTCTTCATTGGCAGCAAGGGAGTTCCACAGGGACTGGCATGGGACAAGTATACCTTCCCTCAGATGCTTCTGGATTACCTCTGTGATGCTTAGCTTGACCTTCCTGGGGATGGGGTACTGGCAGATCTGTTTCAATCTGGCTCCCAGCTTCAGTTTTATAAATATAGGTGCATGGTTTCCTGCCATTCCTAGTAGGTTGTCTTCTGCCTAGACCTTTGGGTATCTCTTTTGAAGATCAATCCCTCTTCCCTCTGTGGGCTTCTGTTGGCCTTCCTCCACTTTCTCATATAGTCACTATTCTTCTTCCTGGGGAACTAAGACTGCTATGAGGTGTGGGGTGCCAGATTTTAAGTGAGCTTCTCTCAATGGGTGAAAGGAGATCTGGGCTTCTAGTTTAGAAAGCAGGTCATATCTCAGGAGAAGAACTGGGCACTCTGGCATGTACAGGAATTGTGCTTTACCTGGTGGCCCCCAAGTTCTACAGTTTGGGCTTGACAAAACTGTCTGGGGCCACTAGACTGTCTGGTGGCACCAATGATAGAGATCTCACGCCCTGAGGGAGGTGCAACCGGGGTTGTTACTACTGAATGTTCTGCCCCAGTATCTACCAAAATGGGGAGGGTTTGGCCCCCTACTGTCATTTGGACCATGGGCTCATGGGGGCCAAGGTGTAGTGAGCCTGGTCTCCCCTAGTCTGAGTCTAGGCCTGCCAGACTGAGGATGGTAGGTGCCTGGGTCCCAGGTCCCAATTGCCTATCCGCCTGCCTTTTCTTTCAGTTGGGACACTCTCTTTTCCAGTGTCCCCTTTCTTTGCAGTATGCACATTGGTCTGGTTCCACACGTCAGTGTGTAAGCTTGTTTTTTTCTTCTGGCTACTGGCCTTTCCTGGGTGGCAGGTGCTTTCCTACCCTGGATGCTAGGAGGGCTGCCTTTTTCTCCATTCTTTATTGAGCCTCCTGCTTGGCCGCCTCCTCTGTTATTGTACACCTTGTTGGCAATCTCTGTTAGTTGGCTTATGTTCATTCTGGCAAAGTTCTTGAGTTTCTGAAGCTTCTTCCTGATGTCCGAGGCTGATTGGGAGACGAACACTGTGTTGACCATTCTCTGGTTGTCTGGGGCCCTTCAGGATAGAATGGGGTGTATATCCAATAGGCCTCACACAGATGTTCATAAAAATCCCCAGGGCATTTAGCAGGCTACTAAGTCACATTAGCTACTTTTGACATGATAGTAGGCCATTGGGCCCCCACCCAGATTCTGCAAAGAAGGGCATCCCTGTATCTCTGAAGCACAGCCCTTCCTTCTTCTGAGTGGTGGTCCCAGTCAGGTTGGGCCTCAGGTGTTGCTGCTCTGGCTCATTGGGCTGGGTCTAAATTGCCCATGGGTGCTGTGGTCTCCAGATATTGGTGGGCTTCCTGGAGAATGTGCCTTCGCTCCTTGGTATTGAACAGCATGAGGAGTAGTAGCTGTTGGCAGTCATACCAGGTGGGACAATGCGTCTGCATGATGGACTCCATAAGGTCAGTCAGGGCCTGGGGTTTCTCCGAGTAGGACGGAGTATGGTGCTTCCAGTTTAAGAGGTCAGTGGCGAATGGTTGGTAATAAATGATGGTCCATCTTGGCTGCTCAGTACTATGTGGCACAATTTATGGTGGGGCCTGGGTCTCACTGAGAGGCATCTGGAGTGGCTGCCAATGCAGGGGCACTTCTGGGGCTGGTGAAACAGATGGTGGTGGAGTGTCAATTTTGGGGGCCCAGGGGACCATCTCAGGCACATATGGTGGGAGTAAGTGGATGGGTGATTCTTTCTCTGGGTCACCTTTGAGGATGTGGGGTTGGCATGTCTCCTTAGATTGAGCCACGAGGACATGGGCAGGGACTTCCCGCATTTGGCAAGGTGAGGTCTTTTTCTTCCGGTTACCTCTGCCAATTTTGGCTTCTGCCCAGCATAGCATTGAAGCCACTTTGGCATGTCCTGAGCTAGTTCCTGGCATTTATCTATGTAGATGTACTGGTCTGGGTGTCCTGGCCTCCCTGTTATTATCAGCTATATTGCCCATATGATTCCTAGGTTGAGGGTTCCCTCAGGGGGCCAGCCTACCCCAAAACTAGGTCATTTGGCTGAACAGAAAGTTTCCAATTGTCTCGGGGTCATGCTCAGATCCTGGCACTGGAACCGATCAAAATTCTGCAACATGCAGTTGAGTACTGTTGATAGGCCTCCTCCCATGGTTTCTCCTCCCATAAAGGCATAGACAGACAAGGGGTGGGGGGTTTTGGTTTGTCCTCCTGGCCACTCCCCTCATGGGGATTTAGGTGCTGCTTAGCTCTGGTAGGTCAGTACAAACCTCTCACTCGAATCAGGAGGTTCGTAGGGAGGACTATGTCCCCCAGAACCTGATACTGCCTTGAGCCATATGAGGTCACTAGGTTACCACAGGTTGGGGCCCACTCAGACTCCGTAGGCTTGCACTGGTGGAGCCACACAGACATTCACACTCATTCACACACTGACATTCAGACGAGTTTAAACATTCTCTCCCATTAGGGCTTGCCCTACCTGGTGGCCAGAAGGCCTGAGAGGTGATCAGTCTCTCCTTCCACCTCAAGGGTGGGCCCATACTTGGGCTTCTGGTCCCTGGGGCACTCACCGGTCCTGAAGCTGTGCACTCCCTGAAGCTGGCCCTGTTCATTTCTCCTCGCAGCCCGGGTGGAGTGTGAACCTTGCTGACAGCTGGCCACAGAGCCTGGAATGGGCAGGGACCCGAAATGGCCAGGGTGCATGCTTCCCTCCATCACAGGGCTCCACGAAGTACCTGCCGGTCCACCTCACTGGTGGCAATCACCTGCTCATGTGAGTCATTTCCTGATCAGGGAACCAAAATGTTACAGAAAAGACTCAGACAGAACACCGGAGGAAGTGAAGAGGTTCCTTTATTTACACATGAGGACCCAGAGGAGGCAGTCTCAAAATTCTGGGCCCTGAGATGTAGGGTGTGCCTAACTTTATAGTGGCTGAGTGGGGCATTCCTTTGGCGCAAAGGCAGTAAGCAACTTACAGAAGGAGGAAGCAAAAGGGGTCATGTCATTTCTAAGATGCTGGCTCAATTAAAATGGTGGTTTACTTCCTCTATCAAGTGTAAGCACATGCACAAGGCTTAGTGCATGTTTGCAACATCAGTCAGCAGGAGTTAAAACTGCTGCAGAAGGTCACACTGCTGTGAGACAACAAAACCAGTTACTGTGCGCTCTGTGGTGTGATCACATGCTAATCATTTGCCAAATATTGCTTATGACCAGTAACTCTTGGCTTTAAATATATAGACCATATTTGTAGATATGTAATATTTATTCATGTCAGCAACATTACTGTGCCCATACTCGGGTTTCTGGTCCCTGGGGCACTCACAGGTCCATATATTTTTTCCGAATATATGGCCTATTTGCTAAAATTTGTTAAAAATAACAGTAAATTAATAACAAAAAACAACCAGTTAGTTTAATTGTAAGCAAATCTTGGCTTAAAAGCATTTTAAAATTAACAGGGTGTTAATTTTTATATATGACATACGGACTGGAAATTTTGTCTATTAAATCTGAAGTTTGTTAAATCAAGGTCTGCAAAAGCAAGGGTTTACTGTATTTAACACAACCATTTACCTTAGCTCCCTACCCAAGTTCTATTCTTAAATATAAGCGTATGATACCATCTAGAGATCATCAGACATTTGATAACTTTCTCTGACAATATTCAATTAAAAGGAGACTAAAAACACCAGGGGAGAAGGACAATGGCAACAAAATTGTGATAGCTGTGTGGATGAAAAGGAGCCACATGGTAACCTGAAAAGCTCAGGGAAGGCCTGTGTGACAGCCTTGCAAACTCAAAGACCTAAAGTAACCAAAGGATGGTCTGAAATTTAAACTTTTAAACTAAAAGCAGTTTATGGCAGATAGTCTTGTCCTAAGCCAGCATCTTCCTTGACAAAGGTCAATTTTCACCTTAATGAAGTCTATTATTTTTGCATATAAGATAAAATACCTTTGGAATGTGGGGTAACTTTCTTTTTTCCAAATCCCTCAGGGCACAACCTATGCACCAGAGCAGAAATCAGAAATCCCCTCATTGTTGTTATTATCATGTTAATTATTGACTGTTAACTATCCTCTACCCACCTGTGTAACAGAAGGATGTGTCTGTCATTTTACTTTTTATCCAAACCCAGAGATTCCCTACCCACTTTGCTTTCTCCCACCTCCCTAATCTATTATCAATGGATTTCATGAAACCCACTTACATCTTCTCTTTTCATTGTAATGTATAAATTAAGGTGGAAAACTGCCATTCTCTGGAGTATTATCTCAATCTGTTGAGGTTTTGCTTCCTGGCATTTTTTAACAGTTTTGCACAAATAAACTCACAAAATTCTTTGAATATTTCTTACATTGACAGCGGGAAAAGAAGTCAATGATCTGTAGGTAATTGGCTAAGCAGATCAGATACAGCTGGAGTTCAACCCTACAACATAGAAGCACAGAAACAATTGGGCCACATCAGGGAGCCTCAGAGAGTTCCAAAATAGAAAAAGGACCAAGTACTTCTGAAACTGGGGTGCAGAGAGTGGGGTAGAGAAAGTCTGTGTGAGTAGTCAGATTCCTTTCGTAGCTGTGCAGTATGGTAATTGCACTTTCTCACACTTTCAGAAGACCCTCGGTTTATTCTGCAGGTATTTCTTGGTGAGATTCAAGTGGAAGGACTGCATGTAGGGAAAGCAAGCATCACTGAGAATGGTACATCATGCTCAAGACCAGGTGAGACCCTTCCTACTTGCCTGATTCTAAGAGCATAGGCATAACCCTTCCAGACAAGAGAGTAAACCATTCCTTTATAAGTTGAAGAGCCCAAGTGAAAACCTGCATAAACAATGAAAGGTGGGAATGCAGACTGGTGCAGCCACTGTGGAAAACAATATGGTGTTACCTCAAAAAATTAAAAATTAAACTGCCATTTGACCCAGTGATCCCACTTCTAAGTGTTCGATGGCCTGGGGACTGGCGCCAGGCAAAGTGCTCGACCATTGTCTCACTTGCTCAGCCTTGCCTCCCACCCTGAACTGCCTGCCTTGAGCTTGTAGATTAACTCCCATCTTGCTCTTATGGATTCACATTCCAGAGGTTCCATGCATAGCCCCCGCAGGGCCAAACCCTAAGGGACAAATTCCAGCTACAACAGGCAGATATAAAAGACACAAGCCCCTACAGTGAGCGCGGCTTCTAGGACTCAACCCCCTGAGTCTGTGAACCCGCCCGGAGTGTACCCAATAAAGCCTGATCCCTGTTTATTCGGCTGATTGGCTCTCCAGTCTCTTCTCTGTTTTATTTGGCGGCGCCCCTGATTCCTTACATCTGGTGCCGAAACCCGGGAGGAGAGTTTTGTGACCCGGCCTGGACTTTTTGGTCCGGACGAGAGTCCTCTCCTCTCCCTGCGCTGACACCCATCTTCTGGATTCGGAATCTCCTTTGACCCAGCACCGACTTCGGAGCCAGGCTCCAAAACTGTAAGTTGTTTCACTCTTTCTCTGAGGTTTTCGGAGCCAGTCTCCAAACCCATCAGAGCCAGGCTCCAAAACCGTTTCGCTTTTTTCTGGGGTTTTGATCTGTCATCCGTCCGGGGCGCGGGTCTCCCATCCAAACCTTGGCCAAGTCGGGATGCCCCCGCCTCTCCCAGTCTGAAGCTGCTTCTAGGGACGCCTGAGGCTCCTTCACGACCACCCTGTCCATCCAGGACAGACATCAGTCCCGGGACGGGCATTCAAAAGGGACGCCTTTTGTATGTCTGCTCTCCCGACAATCAAAGCCCCTCTTATCTGTCGCCATGGGCAATTCCGAATCCATACTTGACCGTAGACCCCCTCGGGTGTCTCCTCGAAAATTTTTCCAAATTGGGATATTCTCAGAGTCTACACAAGGCACCGGAAAAGATTCTGAAGTCCCTTATATTCAGGCTTTATTGGGTACACTCTGCTCCCCCACCCCAGATAATCCCCTCAGTTCCCCTGTCGCTGCCCACACCCGGTCCCACACACCCATGGGGCCACTGTCCTTGCCTGCCACTTCATCTCCCAGTCCACCCCTGATATCAGAAAGAACCTCAAGAAGGTTGAGGAGGGCCCTGAAACTCCCATCCAAGACCTGGTAAAAATGGCCTTTAAGGTTTTTAATGCCTGGGAGGAGACGGCTGAAGCAGCCCACCAGGCGAGGCTCCAGCAGAAGGTAAGCCTCCAAACCCAGGCTCTGGTAGCTGCCCTCCGGCTGGCAGGGGACCCAAAAAGACACCAGGCCCCAAAAGGGGGACCTCGCTCGCCTCCAGGCGCCTGTTTCAAATGCAGCAAGGAAGGCCACTGGGCCAAAGCCTGCCCACAGCCCAGGCCACCTACCGAGCCCTGCCCCCAATGCAAACAAATGGGACACTGGAAGTCGGACTGCCCGACCCTGGCTCAATCCTCAGCACCTCAATGCGGGGGAAATGAGACCCAGGATTTCCCAGCATTGGAGCTACTAGGGTTCATGGACGACTGAGGCAGCCCTGGTTCTGCGACTCCGGTCACCCTCGCTGAGCCCAGGGTCACGATCCAGGTAGCGGGTAAGTCTATTTCCTTCTTAATAGACACGGGGGCTACCTACTCTGTCCTCCCCTCCCATTCGGGCCTCACTTTTCCTTCCCAGGTCTTAGTTATGGGAATTGATGGGCTCCCTACAACCCCCAAACGAACGGCCCTACTTAACTGCGTCTTCGAAGGCCACCCGTTCTCCCATTCCTTTTTAGTAATGCCTGCCTGCCCAGTTCGACTCTTGGGGAGAGATATCTTATCTAAACTCCATACTACCATCTCTTTCCTCCCCCAGCAGCCGCATCTAACAGCTTTACTCTCTGGCCCTACCCAGGCTACTGCCTCAGCTTCCGCGGTCCAGCTCTTACCGGCAGTCCACCCTGGGGTCTGGGACACAAACACACCCTCCGTTGCCTCACATCACGCCCCCATCCTTATCAAATTAAAAACCCATCATCTTACCCCAATTGCCCCCAATTTCCCATCTCTCAGGCTCACCGACTAGGACTCCACCCCATTATATCTAAACTCAGAAGCCAGGGCCTCCTCATTCCTACCAACTCCCCCTGTAATTCCCCCATTCTGCCTGTTAAGAAACCCTCGGGGCAGTACCGCCTTGTCCAAGACCTTCGCATAATTAATTCAGCGGTCATACCCATCTCCCCTGTAATCCCAAACCCCTACACCCTCCTCTCTCATATTCCCCCCCATACTACTCATTTCTCGGTTCTTGACCTAAAGGATGCTTTCTTTACCATCCCGCTACATCCTGATTCCTATTTTCTCTTTGCTTTCACCTGGGAAGATCCAGTTTCCAATATTTCCCAACAGTTAACATGGACTGTCCTCCCTCAAGGATTCCGAGACAGTCCGCGCCTCTTTGGTCAGGCTCTTGCTCAGGACTTAAGGGAATGTGATCTGTCCCCATCCACTCTTCTCCAATATGTAGACAATATTCTCATCTGCTCCCCCTCTGAAGGAGATAATATCTCAACCACCACCGCTCTCCTCAATTTTCTTTACACCAAGGGTTACCGGGTGTCTGCACAGAAAGCCCAGATTGCGACTCCCTCGGTGACCTATCTAGGGCTCCTTGTCACTCTGACACACCGGGCAATCACCTCTGACAGGTTGCAGGCCCTTAGGGACTTACAACCCCTGACCTCGGCAATGGAAATTCAGTCCTTTCTTGGGCTTATGGGGTTCTTCAGGCACTGGATCCCCAATTTTGCCCTCCTAGCCAGACCACTCTACCAGGCAGCCAGAGACACCCCCAAGGGACCCCTGACCTCCCCTAAGGAGGTCCGCCAGGTTTTCCAGACCCTCCTTGAGGCTTTGTGCTCTGCTTCAGCTCTTGCTCTCCCCAATCCCCAACGACCTTTTCTCCTCTATACAGACGAAAAACATCACTTAGCCATAGCGGTCCTGGTTCAGCCACTCGGCCCCACCCTGGTCCCTATTGCTTACCTCTCAAAGCAGCTGGACCCCACTGTTCGTGGATGGCAGCCTTGCCTCCGGGCCCTTGCAGCAGCGGCAGAACTCACCACAGAGGCTCTGAAGATCAACCTGCAACAGCCTCTCCAGGTTTTCTCCCCCCACCGCCTTACCAACCTCTCGCATCAGGCTCTGGCCCACCTTGGGCCCTCTAGACTTCAATTATACCATCTCCTCTTTATAGAAAACCCTTCAATCTCTCTTTCAAGCTGTGGCTCCCTCAACCCAGCAACCCTTCTGCCTGCCTCAGACCAGCAAGTCCCCACACACTCCTGCATAGAAATCCTGGAACATCAGCAGTCTCCCCGGCCTGACCTGGCTGACCATCCCTATATTGATGGCAGCTCCATCCTGGACCCCTCCGGAACCAGACAGGCGGCCTATGCTGTAGTTACTGACTCTAATGTCATTGAAGCCCGACAGCTCCCCACAGGGACCACCTCACAACAGGCTGAACTGATTGCTTTAACCCGTGCTCTCATATGGGCTAAAGATAAAATAGTCAACATCTACACTGATTCCAAATATTCCTTTCTGATCGCACATTCCCACTGTATGATCTGGAAGGAACGAGGCTTCCTCACCACCAAAGGCACCCCGGTCCTAAATGGAAAACTCATTGAAAAACTCATTTGAGCCATCCAGCTCCCCCTGCAGGTAGCTGTCATTCACTGCCGGGGCCACCAGACTTCGAACTCTCCTGTAGCTAAGGGAAATGCTTTTGCTGATAAAACGGCCCATCCACCGCTCGTCTGGGGCGGACTCCTGCTATCTGTTTTCTTTCAGGCTCCTATACTCCACAATACTCAGCCACAGAATTAAAGTCTCTCCAGTCTTCTCCCGGGGTCCACTTCAAGGATGGATGGGCCTTTCAAGACGACCTCCTAATTCTTCCAGACGCCCAAAGACTGCAAATACTGTCAGAGATCCACAAGTCTCTCCACATAGGCCCCGACGCCCTTCACCAATTCTTATCTCCAATCCTCCACCCCAACAAACTCCGACCGGCTATCCAGGCCGCACAGGCCGCACATGCCACACGTTCTGTTTGTTCCAGGTCCAAGAGCCAAGGAGCTTGCCATGTGCACAGGCCCCTACACCAAATGCGGGGTCACCTGCCAGGACAAGACTGGCAGATAGACTTCACTCATATGCCTAAACACAAACAACTAAAATATCTTTTAACCATGGTTGATACTTTTTCAGGTTGGATTGAGGCCCTCCCAGCCGCCTCAGAGGCTGCAGAAACCGTAGCCACTCACCTACTGAAAGACATCAGCCCTCACTTCGGGCTGCCAAACTCCATACAATCAGACAACGGGCCAGCTTTCATCTCCAAGGTCACTGAAGCGGTCTCGGTCTCTCTTGGCATCAAATGGAAACTACATGTGGCCCAGTCCTCGGTTAAGGTGTTGGGGATCTCCGCCTGGATCCATCTCTCTAGTATAAAGAAAGCCCCGATTCCAGAAGAGCAACCAGTCCTGGAGCCTTGCTTCACCTGCACTCCATTAGGGCCGACCAAAATCAAAATATACAAGATGCCCTAATTGGATCATCCACGATAAGTCATTATGATTCTGCTATACATCTTTCTGACTCTGGGCCTTGCCCCGGGTTGCCCACTGATTCTTGCCACCTTCTCGCCTTTGCTTCTGGAATCCTCCCATCTGTTCCGTACCCTGAATTTGACCCAACGCCTCCTCTATCAGGCCAACTCCACATTTGCGTCCTCCTCAGCCTACTCTGCCATATGTGTGGGTCCACCACCTATATGTGTCTCCCCACTAACTGGACCAGCACCTGCACCTTGGTATATCTCACCCCCAACATCAATATAGTCCCCCAGGATGCCTCCCTGCTTGTTCCCGATGTCACCCTGATTAAACAAGAAGACACAAACGGGCTATACAGCTGGTACCCCTCCTCACTGCCCTAAGCAGTACAGGAGCTTTGGGACTCGGGGCAGGTGGGTTAGGAACCTCTCTATCATATTTCCACATCCTATCTGAAGACCTACAAAATTCTTTATAAGAAATAGCCTCCACCCTTCTCAGCATCCAAGATCAACTAGACTCCTTAGTAGCAGTCACCCTTCAAAATTGAAGGGGCCTAGATCTCCTCACTGCAGAAAAGGGAGGTATATGTGTTTTCCTAGAAGAGCAATGCTGCTTCTATCTTAACCAGTCAGGCCTCGTCCGAAGTGCTGCCAATAACTTAAAAGAAAGAGCACAACGCATTCGGGAAAGGCGAGATCAATCTTGGAGCACCTGGTTCGATTCCAACTGGGCACACTGGGTTTTGCCGCTTAAGGGTCCCCTAACTCTCCTTTTTCTAGCCCTAGCCTTCGGACCCTGTCTCCTGAGACTGCTCTCCTCCCTACTACAAAACTGACTGAAGGCCTTCACCAGCCAGACGGTGCACGAGATCTTGATGGTAAGCCATTATCAACCTCTCACCAGATCCTCAGGCCCGGATCATGCCGAAATGGGCCCCCTTCCCTAACGCCGCCCCTGTCCAGCTCGAAGTAGCCAGAAAGATACCTGTGCCCCTTTGTCATTATCACAGAATCGGGAATGTCCGATGGCCTGGGGACTGGCGCCAGGCAAAGTGCTCGACCATTGTCTCACTTGCTCAGCCTTGCCTCCCACCCTGAACTGCCTGCCTTGAGCTTGTAGATTAACTCCCATCTTGCTATTATCGATTCACATTCCAGAGGCTCCATGCATAGCCCCCGCAGGGCCAAACCCTAAGAGACAAATTCCAGCTACAACAGGCAGATATAAAAGATACAAGCCCCTACATTAAGCGCGGCTTCTAGGACTCGACCCCCAGAGTCTGTGAACCCGCCCAGAGTGCACCCAATAAAGCCTGATCCCTGTTTATTCGGCTGATTGGCTCTCCAGTCTCTTCTCTGTTTTATTTGGCGGCGCCCCCGATTCCTTACACTAGGAATATACCCTAACAAGCCTGAAATGCCAATCAGAAAGAATAAATGTACCCCCAATTTATAATATGTATAAATTGCATCTTAATTTATACATTACAATCAAAAGAGAAGATGTAAGTGGGTTGCATGAAATCCACTGATGATAGATTAGGGAGATGGGAAAAAGTAAAGGGGGTAGGGAATCTCTGGCTTAGATAAAAAGTAATATATATAGCAGCACTATTTACAATAGCTAAAATCTGGAAACAACCCAAATGTCCATCAGTAGACGAATAGATAAAAAAGCTGTGGTACTTATACACAGTGGAGTACTGTGCAGCTGTAAGAAAGAAAGATCTCTTATCCTTTGAGATGACATGGACGGACCTGAAAAGTATTATCCTAAGCAAAACAAGCCAAACAGAGAAAGACAAGTTTCATATGATCTCCCTTATTTGTAATATAATGAACATAACAGTCTAAGGAATGGGGTAGTCTCAGAGAAGTGGAAGTGGGGTACAGACTGACAATCCCCAGAAGAGTGGGTGGTGGGAGAGAGATAAACCACAGAACTTATGTGCATGTATGCATGAACAATGGACATGGTCAACAAAGCTGGGGACAGGGCAGGGAAGAGGGGGGATCAGTGGGGGGAAAAGGAGAAACATCTGTAGCAAAAATAAATTAATAAAAAAAAAGTTGGAAATTCTTCAGTAAAATGATCTGAACCAGATCATCTTTCCAATTGACAAATTTCTTTATAGAAACAGACCTTGCAACAGTTTGTTATTGCTTTATTCTTAAATATGAGGGGACAATCCCATCAAGAGATCATCAGACAATGGATAACTTTCTCTGATGTTATCAAAATATAAACCAATATAAATATAAGACAAAAGCAATCAGCCTCTATAATTCCAAACAAATAATCAAATAGAGAAAAAAGGAACACAGGAAAGACTGTAGGGGAATAGAAGAAAACCTTTCTTACCATTAAAAAAAAAAATCCACCCGGCTGGTATGGCTCACTGGTTAAGTTTCAACTTATGCACCAAGAAGACCCCAGTTCAATTCCCGGTCAGGGCACATGCCCAGGTTGTGGGCCAAATCCCCAGTACCATAGTAATGTAAGATGTAAACATCAGGGCAGACTGGATGAGGAGAATATAGGAACTTTTTACATTTACTTTGTAACTTTTTTTTGTCAATTTAAACTTATTTCAAATTAGAAAGATTATTTAAGGAAAAAGAGAAATAAAGTAGATGCTCTCAGGCTACTGGATGGGTGGTGAGTACTTCTTGAGCTAGGTACACAAGAAGAGGAGCAGGTTGTATGGGTGGGTGAGGTGGGGGAAAAGGTTCAGTAGTAGACACTTCAGAGGAATGTGTGTATCCAGGTATATCAGCTATCCTCTAGACAGGACCTCCAGATTAAAGACCAGAAGTGTGAGCCACCTGTCCATGGATTATTGATTGGGAGCAGTTGGAATGTGTCCATATAACGTGTGTGAGGAGAAGAGAAAAGGACTTCAGACAGAGCTCTAATAAATACCAAGAACATTAGGAGAAAATTGCTATTTTTGCAGTTTAAGTTTCTTCCCTAATTGTATTTTTTTGTATTGATTCAGTTATTTTATGAGGCCAGTTATTGAACTTCTACATTATATTATAATTCTAATCAAGAGCTAACTTTAAAGCCAACGGAAGCCATGCAGAATTATTTGGGTGAAACTGACCTTGTATGTAGGTAATAGAGAATGGTATGAACTGTGGCAAACTGAACTGTGCCTGCTCTGCCCAGAGGGAGGACTCCAGCTTCAGCTCCAGCTGATGGTTAAGTAGAAATGTGGGTCTAAAAGTGACACATTTTTTTTCCTAAGTCAGAAATACAGAGTTCTATATGAAACCTGCCAATTTTGAGTGTTGGCAATTAATTATTTTTAATTTTTGCTAACCAAATAGAACATGTCTGTTGACAGCCAGCACCTTGCAGGCCTTTTGTTTGTGACCTCTGTTCAAAATCTTTCCCCAACGTTTGTGGCCACTTTTCTGTTCTTTCCCCTGCCCCAAACATTTATGCTTTTAATCTGAAGTACCCCAGCAGACTGGCAACATAGTGTTTGATGAGGCTGTTGACAAATTTGGACCTAGGACATATTTCTACACAGTCCTATTTATTAAATGCATGTTTCCCAGAAGCACTGGCTTACTGATGTAAACTGAATGCAGTTTGCCAAACATTTAACTTCTTGCTTATAGGGACTTTATTACCTATGGTTGTCCCTTGTCATTGATTACCCTGTCATAGGGTACAGGGCCTAATTTATGCCAAAGCGAGACAATGTGGCCCTATGACCTGTGAGGCTCTTATTTTAGCTTAGAAGACTAATCTAATCTGGCAGGACTTTCTCTTTTATAGCCATGGTAGAGTATGGCACATTTTCCTTTCACGTATTTGCAAATAAATTCTGTTTTTATTTCTACCCCCATGCTGCTTTAGCATTAGAAGGAAAAAATGCAAACCCTCAAATGTTGTTTATGGACCTGCAGTTTTCCAATCTTGTGTCCTTGAAGTTCTTTGTACATACAGACATCATAGTGGTTCTTTTCCAGATTGTTCAGGCATATTCTCAATCCTCCATGAAGTCTTAGAAATATCAGAATTCCTGGAATGTATTTGGCCACTTTCTTGAGCGTCCCAAATGTAAATTGGAGATACAGATCTGGTTTCCCACCCTCCCCTCCTCTGTGTGGCCTGATCAAAAGTTTTTAGTCCACATGTGACTTTGAATTTTGAGGAAAAAAAAAACACAAGTATTTTTCACATGATTAGTTACCAATCTCATATTAAAAATTGGCAAGATTGTGTGGCTGGTGTGGCTCAGAGGATTGAGCGTTGTTTCATGGACTGAGAGGACCCAGTCAAGGCACTTGCCTGGGTTGCAGGCTCAATCCCCAGTAGGGGGTCTGCAGGAGGCTGCTGATTGATGTATTTCTGTCATGTCAATGTTTCTTTCTATCTTTCTCTTCCTTCCTCTCTCTCTAAAAAAATCAGTAAAAACATTTTTTTTTTAAAAATTGGCAAGATCATCTTTATCTGGCTTCTAGTATAGCTAAAAAATATTTTCCTGTTTATTCTATGTCTTTTGAGGTGCATCTCATTTCTTGCTTAAACTTCATGATACTACTTATTGTGGAAGACTATTTCTTTTGCCTATTGATTGGCATCTTGGGATTTTTTAAAATTTAAGTGTAGCTTCCATACAATGTTATATTAGTGATTCAACATTTGTACACATTACGATGTAATCATCCTACTAAGTTTAGTAAGCATCTGTGCAAAATTATCAGTTGTCATTTTATGCATACCTTTGAATTATCCAATATAGTTTGTCTCCAAATCCTGGAGGTTTCCTATTGGAAGTAATGGAATATGTGGCTTCTCTTCCTCCATGTAGTCTTGGAACTTATCATGATTATATGTACATAATGCTTGCTTTATATACTATAAATTTTTTTTATTAATTTTTGTTACAGATGTTTCTCCTTTTCCCCCCACTGATTCCCCCTCCCTCTCCCTCCCTGTACTGTCCCCAGTTTGTTGTCCATGTCCACTGTTCATGCATACATGCATATAAGTTCTGTGGTTTATCTCTCCCCCACCACCCCACTCTTCTGGGGATTGTCAGTCTGTACCCCACTTCCAAGTCTCTGGGACTACCCCATTACTCAGACTGCTATGTTCATTATATACCACAAATAATTGAGATCATATGAAACTTGTCTTTCTCTGTTTGGCTTGTTTCACTTAGGATGATACTTTCTAGGTCCCTCCATGTAGTCTCAAAGGATAAGAGATCTTTCTTTCTTACAGCTGCATAGTACCTCCATTGTGTATATGTACCACAGCTTTTTTATCTATTCGTTTACTGATGGACACATGGGCTGTTTCTAGGTCTAAGCTATTGTAAGTAGTGCTGCTACAAACATGGGGGTACATATATTCTTTCTGATTGGTGTTTCCGGCTTCTTAGGGTATATTCCTAGAAGTGGGATCACTGGGTCAAATGGAAGTTCAATTTTTAATTTTTTGAGGTAACACCATATTGTTTTCTATAGTGGCTGCACCAATCTGCATTCCCACCAGCAGTGTACTAGAGTCCCCTTTTCTCCACACCCTCGCCAACACTTATTGTTTGACGATTTGATGATGGCGGCCATTTGACAGGTGTGAGGTGATACCTCATTGTTGTTTTAATTTGCATCTCTCTGATGATTAGTGATGATGAGCATTTCTTCATATGTCTCTTAGCCATTTGTATGTCCTGTTGGGAGAGGTGTCTATTTAGT